CGTACGTACGTACGTACTACTACTACTATACTAACTACTACTACTACTACTACTACTACTACTACTACTATATATAGTACGTAGTAGTACGTACGTACTACGTACTACTACTACTACTACTACTACTACTACTACTACTACTACTACTACTACTACTACTACTACTACTACTACTACACTACACACACACACACACACACACACACTACACACACACTACACACACACACACACACACACACACACACACACACACACACACACACACACACACACACACACACACACACACACACACACACACACACACACACACACACACACACACACACACACACACACACACACACACACACACACACACACTGATGGTCAATCATTGCCGGTGAAACATTTATAATAATTAGCGTCAAACATACAAACATCTGCTAGTAAGTGCTAAGTAGGCTCTGTCTGTATGTGTGTGGGAGAAATAATGTCATTCAATAACTTTCAGGAAGTGATTTGTAAACTGATTTTACTTCAATAAGTTGGTCAAAAATTGTTTGTTTTTTTACAGAAAACCATAATTTGTCCCACAGCAGGGATATTTTCAAAGATATATTGAAGACATACTTTATCTTCCGATAATTAAGCTTTTAAGGGTTTATCATTTGTATTATCAGATTTTTGACTGATGACAAAACATTCCTACAATATAAGATGTACGTATATCATACTCTTTTCTTGGTAATTTGGAATGAGCGTTACAATTGATTATTTGAGCGTGTTCCACTTCATTGGACAGCATTTTTTTACTTTTTAACATATTATGACATTTCACTTTGGGAAACACTTGAACATATTTGTATTTAAAAGAATGTATGTATTATTAGATTTGTAATTATGTATAGATTTTTTTGTTTTAACTCTCAACACAACTGGACACTTTTAACATGATCATTTTCATCAACTTGCCATTATAAGAGGACAAGAAGTCCAAGAGGAAGCTACAGGGAGAGTTGATTTAGCCTACGTGCTCCCTGATGTGAAATTAACTCAGGGTCACACACAAACTGCTGGCCGGTGTTTGTCTGATGTAAGGAGCAGATGGTGGTGATTGAGACACCCTGACGTCACATACATCATCATTAATCCCATACACACGCACGCACACAAACACACGCACACACACACACACACACACACGCACACACACACACGCACAAACACACGCACGCACACACACACAGAGACAGAGAGAGAACAATTTGTGCAATAAAAATGGTTGTTGAAAGTACTGTACAGTACTGTAAAGTGTCTCAGTACATAAAGTACTGAGACAAAAGCATATAAGAAAAGGTGCAAAAATAAGCCATTTGCAGATTAATGTACACAATGAAATGGTGATATAAATAACAAAAAGTGAGAAGTAAATATGAATACAGACAGTGCATGTGCAACACAAACTATGCAGGTAAAAGTACAAATAGAAAAATATAATCATAAATTGTGTAAAAGTGTAATAAAGGGTTGATGCATATTTTTTAATTAGTCATATTATTAAATACCTTTATATTACTGTATTACTGTAAAATAATCATGCTCTGTCGTGTAGAGCCACCTTCAGGCCAAACTCAAGAAAAACTACATCGAGTTTTCATTCCTGTAGCTGTGTTGCTTAAATTACATTTAAAACATAAAATATATTTGATTTGCTTTGTTTTACATTTTTATATATATTTTTATCTTATAATATTAGGATATTCGTTTGCGAGACGCCTGTTAGAAGATATTTGTATCTTCAATATTAGTAACTGTCATTTATTGAGCACCGCGGTGCATGATGGGAGACAAGATGTGTTCTAACAACCAATCAGATTGACCGAGACACGCTTAACCCGGAAGTAAAACTTCAACAACAACAAAATTGCCGGGAAATCTGCAGCTCAAACGCTACTGTATTCGCCAAGGAAATATTTATGAGAAAATTGTTATTGTGTTAAGATTAAACACATCACAGTGTCCCTGGTTGTATATTGTACCTGTCGGAGCAGTTATGGACGAATATGACGAACTTTTCGAGATAGAGGATGACTTCGAGGATCAGTTCGCCGACGAGCTGGAGGCGATGGCTCAGATCGAGGGTGAGGAAATAAATACAGATCAAAAACGTTAACAAGACCTTTATATTATGTCCCCAAAACAAACGTTAAGTCTAACGTGTTGTATTATTCCTCACCTGTGGTTGAAGACGTACTCAGTTATTAGAACCAAAGTATTCTAAATTAATAATCATTTAGTCAAACTTCTATCAGAAAGCACTGAAACATGCCTTTTACAATTCCCCAGAACCAAAACATATTTTATATATAAAAAAGAAAGGCACAAATATCCTCCAAAGATAGGATGTGCATTTCTGGAATAAAAGACAACACTGATGTGAAATAACACCAATGTACAATATGTTCCTAGTTACTGGCTGCTACTTCTTAGTTAGACCATCTAATACTGTAACAAGACTCTGTATGTAACTGTGTGCAATATATAGATAGATAGATCTTTCTATAATATATAATATTACCACTGTTATCTACCACAATTCATTTGACATGTTAGACTTATTTTATTTCATAAATACTGTTGCTGCTACTTACTTATCTAACTGAATGCTTACTTCTGTAAATTGTCATTTGTAAATATTATGTATATGCCTTTTATCTAAGAGTGTGCTATTTATTTTGTCTCTATCTAAACTTTTACAATGTAAATGTACCATCTTTGGGCAAATAAAGGAATTATGTTTCTGAAGGGGCAACGAGTTATCATATTCTTTTGTATTAACAGTTACCTCCCTATCATTATAGCATTAATTATGTGTGTCTTTTTCTTGAATGTCTCAGACGAATCCTCTAAGCCTGAGAAACGTCAGAAGCAGAATCCAGGAGACGACATTTCTGACATACAGCACATGCTGGATTCTCACCCCACCAGTGAGTTCACCCTGAGAGAACATCGGCTGTTTTTATTATTATTCTTCGTTGTGTTAGCTTGATGTTGTAAATTAAAAAATCTGACTTTGTCCTCGTAGCCCCAAAAGCAAAGCGGCAGAAGCAGGATTCAGGAGTGGTCAAGCGCCTTTTCAACACAATGCAGACTCAAGAGAGCAAAGCCCCGTCACAGAAAGATGACATCACTCCGCCGTCCTCTCCAGAACAATGTGAATCACCTCGCATCGTCAGGTAGGAACGAAGCATGGACCAGTGGTAAGGAGCTTGGGAAGGGACACTAAATAAGGGAAGAATAATTCCTATTCAGCTTTTCAGGCTGGAAATGTTCCCCAGGAATCTATGGGGTCTACATGGGGGTGAATAGGAACAGGAATACCATTCAAATATTGAATACATTTTGTGTTGGAAGAGTTTAAACCAACACATTCTAAAAGACGTCATTACAACCTGTTAAATCTTAGGATTTTCTTTTTTTGTTTTTTTATATAAGATTTTAATTTGAATGCTATTTGCATTTTTGATCATTGCTCAGGCAAAAAGTAGGAGTTTGAAGCTGTAATAATATCCTTTTAAAACACATGATGGCCATTGATCATTATTCACATTTTATCGATATAACGTTTTTATTTAAAAAATGAAAAATACAGACTTCTCAACTACTTTGTGTGTTTTAGGTCTACCCCGTCTGTATTGGATATCAGTGGATTCGCTTCAATCCTAGATTCGCCCTGGCGACCTGCAGCAGCGACCGCATCGCTGCATGTGCTGAAGCGGCCTCCCATCGAGGGAGAGTACGTCAGTGTGACAGACTCTTCAGGGAGTCGGGTCTACCTCAAACAAACAGAAGACACGGCGTCAAAGGTTGAACTCTTCCGCTTGTCGAATGATACACAATCCTGTAGTGGCGTCATCTCAGCTTAGACTCTGAATAATTGTCAACATACAGACTTCTAGTGCCCATATATGTGTGTTTCATGTGTGTCTTTCTTTCTTTACCTGTGTGTGTCTCCAGATTGTGGACTCCAGATTTGTTCCAGACTTCCAGGGTTCATTGGGGCTGCTGGCAGTGCCAATCAATGCGCTGCGAGATCAAGAGTCAGATAGGGTGAGCGACTACGATGCTGTTGTTTGCTAATTATCTGCCACATTTCCTGCACATAAACACACTGATGATTCTCAGTAATCACATTTTACAAAGGGTTAAACAGCACTCCTAGACCTTCATTATGATAAGCCAAATACAGAGAATATTGCAATCTACTTCAATTGACTAATTTACAAAAAGGTTGCATAGCTGTAACGTAATTTATAATTCTTTCAGCTGTAATCCATTCTTTGGGAATTTGCCCCCGAGTGTATCTGCAGTCAAAAAAAGCATTATTGTTCCACTTTTATTTTGATACAAAAGAATACATACTTGTTTACAAAAGTGTTTTATTCTTTGCAAAACAGCCTTTAACTTGAAATTCGACATTTATTCTTTTGGAAAAAAGGGCCATCTGATGCCTAACACTAAAATCAAGTATTACAGTTACATCTTTTTTAATACGTGCAGTTATTTACTTTATTTCTGCAGGTAGCTGTTGGATGCTTTTCAGAT